CCGATGCATATGCGTTCGGCTCGGCTGAGCCGCTCGTCCATGATCGGGAGCTGTACAGGCTATTGTGAATAGCCCGTACAGCACCCCTTCGGTTCTACTGAACCGAAGGGGTCCTGGGGCCGAAGCTAGCCGAAGGATCGGCCGAAGCTACGGCCAGATCCTTCAGCAGCTTTGTGAATAGACCCCATAGTAACTAGATTTGTTCAGACTGTTAACCTAGAGCCCTTTTTTTTTACTTTAAAAAAATACTGATTGAGGCCAGTGTGCAGTTACCCCCCTAACATTAAACATTCTGCATATTTTGATTGCTGCCCCTGTTTCCCAGAGGGTAGAATTCAACTCACATTTTCAGTTTAGCTTTTAAATGTGCAGTGAGGTGATATTTTCCTGTGAGGGTTTTTTGTACAAAGATTTGACATTTTCCAGCACACTGGACAATTTTCATCATGGACATTTATCACTCCTGAACATGTATTATTGCCAGTATCCTACCACATACTGTATATTACATGTTTGCCACAAACAGCACTCAAATCTACCACAATGCAGAACTAAATTACACAGGGTATGGCCAGAATGTGTATGCATACTGCTAATAGGTGCCTGGGGCTATCTAAACCTACTATCACTGAATACATTAATTTATTCCTGATAGTTCCACCTCATTTATTGTTTATAAAGTAGCTCCTGTTTTCATTTAATCAAATATGAGCTATATATTATTTGATTTTTGCACAGATTGATGAATTGTTTCTCACTTCCTTTTTTTTAACCCCATGGAGATCATCTGCCAGACACTTCACCTGGGTGTAGGTTACATTTACTTAAAAGGAAAAGGCCAGCATAGTCCCTGGTGAATTCTGAAAAGCTTCCTACTAATGGATGGCGTTTGTTGAAAGTAATCTATTTCTGCAATGTTTGTTGTATAAACACATTGATTACAACAGATACAATACAAGAGGGAGTTGTAGTGTACTGGCTTGAGAGGGCAAACACCCTAGCTGATGTCAATGCTTAAATTCGCACCGCAATATTTTATTCTCTACTTTCACTGTGTAATTTAGCAGATACTTATCCAAAAGAATAGCTTATGATCAAGCAAAACAACATCACAAATCACATTAGGAGAACCTCAGGCCACCCTTTATTCCAGTGTTTTACCTCTTTTTTTTTACAATAAGCATTACAGTGTTTATAAAATATTAACTCTGTTTTTGCCTGACCCAAAAATAAGTCTAGACACAAAGCAGACAATAGAATCCTATCAACAGCTGCCTAATTTAGATCTCCTGATGTATCTTGAGTAGGTCATCAGGCAAACTTTATTTTCAACGGTGCATAAATTAATTACACACATTTAATAACTAAAATGTCATTAGAGTTCCCCTTTAATATCATCAAGGCAATGCGCCAGGGAAGCTCTTAATAGTTCAGAGGGCCATAACAGGCTATTATCCTTGTGTAATGCTATTACAGAACCAATTATGTATCATTATGCTGTTTTCCCCCCCTCTTTTTTCTTTTTTTGCTTATGTGATCTGATCCAATCACTAGTCTCTCTGACTTGAATGTTTCAGGCTTGGGTACTTTAGGATTTGCGCTAGGCTGTGAGACGTTCTCCATCCCTCCCCTCCCCTTCATCTTTCTCTGTCTCTGATGCATTTTAAAAAATAATTGCTGGGGTCCCGCTGCATATTATTTACAGGGGAAAGAGATCATAAATCCAGTTACCCCATGCTGAGAACAAAATCAAACTTTGTCTGTGCTACCGCTTACAAAGCGCAGCTCTGCGCAAAGAGCCCCCTAAAAGCCTTTCATGCTGACAATTACAGGGTTGATTGCCAATTAAAAGCCAGCAGCTCGGATCCTTAGGGCATCTGTAACAATCTGTGCCAGAGATAAAGGAAAGGCTGCACACCCACTGGAGAGCAGCGAGCCCATGTCACATACACCTGGGGGACAAACTTCAATTACATTTATTCAGGAACCATCCCATTCAATGCTTGCAATTGCTTTACTACCTTTTATACCTTTTATCAGAGGAACAAGTCATACTGTCGGTTATCCACGTTAGAATCAGCTGCGTGTTACCAGCTACAACCTATAAGATCCAGTGTCCACCTATTCACACTAAGCGTCGCGCTGAACACACATTTGGCGCAAGCAATACTGTGAATAGGCCCAATCTGAAAATCAAATAAACGCTATAATCCGATAAAATCGACCCATGAATTGTTCACCTATGGTTGTAATTCCAAGGATCCTTCTCCGATCCGACATTTATTTGCTTTGGATAAAAAGAATCATTATAGACATGCGGGAAAGCCGTGAGTAACTTTAAGATTTATATAGCAGAAACCCACAGCTAGCCTTTCTGAGAACAGACAACTAAGGACTGTCACTCGGGATAGAGGTTCGGCTGTGTATAGAAAAGAGGATGAGCGAAGCTTTTAAACTACTGCTGTTTGCTGAGAAGTGACGAGTGCACCTCGTGACTCATTAGTTATACCCAGCAGACCTATCCATGTTACTGACTGTATGCAGCGCAGCAAATAATCCGATTAGTGCCAATTATGCGTGAGATTATAAAGGCAAGTGCTGAAAGGCGAGGAAAGCACCAACCAGCTGCAGACAGCTGGCCCATCATACGAGCAGAGATTCTGTCCAAGCTTCAGCACTGAGAGGCGGACAGCTGCTTCCTCTGCTCTCTCCTTGCTTCACGCCTGCTGTCAAAGGTCCACCACTCATCCTCATCTGAGTGCCCTGCCGTATACCGCAGCGTTGTGCTTTCTACAGACTGCAAGATCTCGCTGACCCACCTCAGAATTGTCTATTATTTAGGATTAATCCAAATATTTTGAGGGTTTTTTTAAGTACTAGTTTTCTAGATCTGCACACTGAGACCAATATCCTTCGATCGTTGCTAAGACTTCAGAAAAAAGTGAACTTCAGAAAGAAAAGCGTCTATATCAAGGTAAGAGACGTCCTGCAAAAGGTGACAAGGGAGAGACTGTAGCCAGCTCAAGTTCTGTGTGTTCCTTGAATTCACTACCAAGTTTGTGTATCATATTTATGGGATATTGATATAAGTGTTCAGAAAACGTTATATGTAAATTGGATTTGACTGTCAAAGCGCTTCACAAGAAATCTATGTATATGAGTAGATAGTTAGATTATTTCACATATGTAGGAAGTCTGAGGCATGTACATGACACTGATATCAAGTATACCAACTATGACCTACCTTTTTACTTTTATTTTATTATTATTTGTCTTATGGAGTCTATCTATCTATCTATCTATCTATCTATCTATCTATCTATCTATCTATCTATCTATCTATCATGTATCTTTTAATTATCTCTCTATTTCTCTGTCTATCAATAATCTATCTATCTATCTATCTATCTATTATATTTTAATTATCTGTCTGTCCATTATCTATCTATCTATCCATTGTCTATCTATCTTTTTCAATGTTCTGACGTTGTTTTGATGTGCAGGTGGGAATCCATTGAGATGTTTTACTTCCACTGCCCCCCACAGCTGGAAGGTGAGTACAAGCTCTCAACCTTTCTTCATGTGAATGTGTTCGGGCCTGTTCATGTAAAGCACTATATCTCAGGGTAGGTGCGACACTTCTTTATCAAAGTATCTCCTGAATTCTGAACCAAACCCAAGGCTTTCCTGATATCTAGAAGCTGTACAAGAATAGACAAAAACGTTGAAATGTATCATTTCACTTTTAGTTTGTGAATCTATACTGCAAAACCACGGGAAATCAAGTCTTCGATTTCACTGACATAAAACATATCGGATAAATCTGTCCATAAATTTAATTAGCGTTACTTGACTTTATTAGCTCACTTTCCTAAATGTCATTTAATGTGCTGCAAGGAGCAGCAGGGCATGCAGTCCAGCCTCGGCAAATCCATCATCTTTTCTTGACAGATATATGGTATTTTAAAGCTTTCTTCTCATACGGAGCTTCCTCCAAATGTTAAGCAGAGCTCACTAATGTTGAATAAAATATGAAGTCGAGCTAGAAAGTCTCTGGTTCCTTTCAGTAAAAGGCTGGGGGAGGTAAATGGGATTTGTGAAAGGAAAAGCCGGCCTCTCCCACCTGCTCACAAGAGCCTGGGGGCAGAGGAGATAGATCTAGCGACACAGATGTTCACTGTCCAGGCTTGTGTCACATCCTCACAGCACCGTTTTTCCAGCACATCAATCTTTCATGTTGTTTTATAAACATTTTGTAAGCAAAGAATAAATACGTCAACAAAAGATCCGAAGCCATAAATGCCTGAGGGTCGGCACGATATGGACTTGCCACACGACGGTTGTTGACTCTGTCTAGTCCTCAAGGGGTTAAACATATCATCTCAATTAAGAGCACCGACTTCTGCCTCAGGAGCAAACATGGAAAATAAACCAAGCTGCTAATTAATAAATACAATCAATTATCCCCTTTAATTAAATACGAAATCTTTTTGATCTGATTTTGAAACAATATCTGGCTACTGCCATTGCTCAAGCTGTCACCCCCATTGTTTAAAATTGTTTCTGTCCGAACACACTGGTAACTTTGTTCTTCCAAATTTAAAATCTGCTGATGTAACTTTTTATGAAAAAAAAAAAAAATAACTCAGTAACACACACACACATTTAAATTTGCAGGTTGTTTCCCCTGCTTTTATGACTTCTTCCTGGAAATTAGTTTTCAGCACTGATCCACTCTTCCATCTGGGAACTCAAACTACAATGCACAAAAGGTGCATTGTAGTTTGAGTTCCCATCACATATAAATTATAGTCCGGACTTCGGACAGTACTGGGTGGGATGAATTTTGCCAAGTTTCCATGAAGAATATTGTGAACACACACAAATACATACACCTATTTACATTTGCAGGGTTATTTCCTGGTTCTATGATGTCTCCCTGGAAATGGGTTTTCAGCCCTGAGCAACATTTCCATTTCATTTTTCCTGCATAATTTTACTCATCATCTATATATTATAGCCGGGACTTTAGAAAGTACTGTGTGTGATGCATTTAGCAAAGTTTCCATAGGGAATACTGTGAATACACACAAACACATTCAGACAGACAATTTTTTTTTTTAAATTTGCACGGATATTCCCTGGTTTTAGGATTTCTTCCTGGAAACGGGTTGTATAAGCACTGATCAACACGTCCATGCACGTTTTCTACATAATTTGTCTCATAAATTGTATCCCGGACTTTATAGTACTGTGTGGGATTTAGCAAAGTTTCCATAAGGAATACTGTGAACACACACACTTATTTAAATTTGCAGGGATATATTACCTGGTTCCATGATTTCTTCCTGGAAATGGATTTTCAAGACTGATCAACACTTCCATCCACTTTTTCTGCATAATTTTTCTCATCATATATCCGAACTTTAGACAGTACTTTATGGGATGCTTTAAGCAGTTTCCATAAGAAATACTGAGAACACACACACACACTTATTTAAATTTGCAAGAATATTTCCTGGTTCTATGATTTCTTCCTGGAAATTGGTTTGCTGCCCCGATCAACTCTTCCATTCCACTTTTTCTGCACAATTTTTAGCAAAGTTTCCATAAAGTCTATCGTAATTTTATTTCTAAAAATTACTAAATTCTCATAACAGTGGAACTTCGTTTAGTTTTACAAAACGCTCTGCATCCGTGACACATATTAAATCGGAAACTGCAACAATGTAATATTTAAACATTACATATAAACACCTGGCGGGTATGTTGGTGGAATAGGAAGTGTGTTTTACATGGTATGCCATTCTAACATTTATTGTAACAACTTTGAGAAGTTCAATACATAGCGCTGTCAGGAATGTATTGCTGTTTTCTGCGCTGCTCCATGAGTATTTTGTATCGGCAAATGTAAGCTGTTCACTGCTTAATGTGTTTATGGCTACTGTGATTACACATTAGTGTCCGATAAATACTAAGGGGTCTATTTATAAATGTTTTCTCACAAAATTCACACGCCTTTCACCCATGATTCACACATGGTGAATCATGGGTAAGCGTTATGTAAGTGAGGATGAACAAAATATATAATAAACCCCTTTTGCGTTTGTTTCCATAATTAGGGTGTGCTGTGTGCAACATCCAAAGTCCGTATAGATTATTGCACAATACGAATTACTAAAGTGAAACTGTCAACCAGCAATTATCTTGGGCATGCAGCAGGTTACAAATTATAGAAAGGCGTTTAATTATGGGTTATGGCATGTCATATAGATTGTATCATTGTATTTTGGCTAAAATAATATAACAGTTGCAGCATATTGAAATAAAGTAATCATGGGGATATGTAACAATGGGAGAGTGTGATAGAGCCGGCAACCTATGGTGATTTTTTTCTTTTCTTCAGTAGGATCTCCTCCTTTCACGAGTCATTCATCTGCTGAGTTTGATGAAGGGTTTCTGCGCAGAAAGCAGCGAAGGAACAGAACGACATTCACACTGCAACAGGTAGAATTCAGCTACATCCCCTCGTTGTATTCTGTACAGATATATAGCTAAGGTTAACTCTCCATATTAGACTGAATCTGCCCGAGGTGCAGGCTAAGCATCTGAACGCATTATTAATCTGAAACTAAGCCAAGAACCTCATGTAAATAAATATTTAGCTGAAAATGTGAACGACTACATGGGGTTTGTTGCACTGGAGTATATGTCTGATCATGTTACAAACATTTATTTATTTTGATTTATATTTTATTCTGATACAATCAACTTTTTTTTTAATTGAATCAGATTACATCTAAGAGAGAATATGAAGAGTCATATTCCTTACCCCCTAGTTACCGGTTTTAAGCCTACATTGTAAAATCACAGTTAGAAAATGAAAGCCTTAATCTGATTTTTTGTATAAGAGGAATCTATTCCTTATTTAGACACTTGATAAATGAGATCCAATGGTTTTCCAATAACAGTAAAACAATAATACAGTTCAGAAATGTAAGATCAATAGTAACATGATTTACTGTAAAAGGTGTCATTATTGTTCTAAAATTACAATGTGACTGATCTAACAATCTAATATCCAGGATTTTGCCAACAGGCAATTGTTCCTGTTAGTGTTATAATTTATTGTAGGAAATTTTGCCTGGACTTGTCTACTTTGCACCTGTGATACAGTCATTTAATACATTTTGTGCATTGCAATTAAAGGGTGCATATTTATTTTGTGCCACTTTCTGTTATGCATTGCTAAGAATAGTTTTATTGTTTAGACCAAAAAGTTGTTTTCTTCCTCAATAATTATTCTTATCTTTAAAACAGTCTAGTCTATCTATCTATCTATCTATCTATCTATTATACGTAATATACAAAACAAATAAAACAGATGGATAGATGTTTAAATA